AAGCAATAACAGAAAAAAGGGAAATTGTCCAAACTATATTTCGTGGGGGTGGGGTGGGGGGGGGAGTTCCAACTTCTTTCAGTACCAAATTTTATTCATACACTACTACACTACAAAACCCTTATTTGACTGTAGTATAACAAAATGTGGGGGGGGGGGGCAACCGGCCTTTCAATTAACATTTCAAATATAAAAAAAGTCTTTCGAAAAAAGTGGGGTGGGACAGGCCCCCCTGACCCCCTGACCCCCCCCCCTTGTTGCTACGTGCCTGAATGGGTCAAACTCAATGCTCAATGAAGGTCTTGTCACAAGGAATACACATGTGAAATATAAAAGCCATAGCATAGCTCCAACCAATCAAAAGTTAAGTGGGCAAGATTAATTTTTTTGCGGACAAACAGACTAACAGACAAACATACAACTAGACGGACTGAAAGGGCAAAAACTCTATACCCCCGAATCTTCGATAACGAGGACATAAAAAAGGTACCGGTAATAGAGAATTTTCTATTCTTTAACCTGAAAAAAACTAAATCAGCATTAAATGTTTGCAATATTTCGCCCGAGAAACTGGATAATTTTATGGTCCTATGTGAGGGCATACGAGGGGTTATCAAAAAGTTCGTGGACTGATGCGATAAAATTAATACTATGTAGTCGTTCATTACAAAATTTATAGGGAACATAAAACAACAAAATTTGAAGAAGTGTTGAAAATTTCAGCTTGATATGTTGATTATTTGCCAAATTATCATTAAATAAAAAGGGAATTATATGATCACCCGGCGCTGTCGCCGTTTAGTTTCATGACGTCCGACAAAGTCATTAATTCTCAATGCACACTCCTTCTGCCTCAATACACTTATCTTGATGAGATTCTCGGGAGTAAAGTAAAGACCTAAATCCGTCAAGTTTATATGACTTTACAATGCCATGAACTCCTGATTTCAATGCATCAACATTGTAAATATTAAATCAATACATAGGAAAAGATCCTCTCTTGATTTTGCAACATAATTTGCTCGTCGGAGTTCAACGTCAACCAATGATTAACGTCACTTTTCGACGTGACTAACTTTGGACACCCTGACTACAAATCGATATTAACCGTGTGTTTCTTTTCTTGCTGAATCTCTTTTGGTATTCAAAAACAAGTACTTTGGATGAATTTTTTTTTCTGTAGCCTGTTTAAACATTAAATGAAAATTTTTCTAAGGTTATGCCAGGTTTTCCAGGGGCTGAAACCTTATAGAAGGTTGTAAAATGATACCCTACCCCCTTTCGACGTTATTTTTAACCCCTTTTTTGTTTGGACATTCAAAATAAAATTTACGATAAAATTTCATTGAATGCACAGAATGAGGTAAAACTTGCAACTTTTACGAAAAAAATTGTGTCATATCACTTGAGTGAAATAATGGAATTTTCAGATGCCAAATGCTCATATAAGATAGAGTTTTTCTCAATTACACTCAGGTATAAAATACGTTCTTTTCGAGGTTGCGCCGCCTGGACATACCATTGCTTACAAAAACATTTACGATTCACTAAAAAATAAAACTTATGATTTATAGTTTATTTTACAGTTAGAAAAGATGATGCTTATTAATTGTTTAAAAATTCATTGATGTACATAAAGCGGTTTTATTTTTATGGCGCTAATCCACGAACTTTTTGATAACCCCTCGTATGTTTTCCTTTCCCCTTAAGAGGTAGTAGATTGTACATATTTTTTCTGTGTATCTTAAAAATAATATTTTATTTTGATGGGTAAAAAACGCAAATAAGATAACATCTTAAAAGGAATAGCAACTTTATAATGAACAAATACAAAACCTTTATAATATTTGTCCTAAACGTAGTAGAAATATACATGTACAGGACAAGAACGGTCGTCCGATATTTATATTGGTGTATCAAATTATTTACAGCACTCCTTTCAAATTCTTTTATCTGTTTCAGGCATGTTATTCAAGATGTAAAACACAATAGAAACATGTAACATAAAGATACAAATACAGCATCAAATATCCTCTGAAATTGCAGTGAATTCTCGCCAAATAGGTAGCATGTACACGTCATGTGAAAGGTCAGTAGGTATTCGCACCACCACTGGTATTGTGGTGACTGAGGTTAACAAGGATGATGTGGTGTTAGTTCGAACACAACCCACACACGGCTATCCAGGAAATCTTTACAGTGACCTTGACTGGAAATCGACTTTCAGCGGCTGTTTACTGTTTTGAAATATTTACAAGGAAGCAAATAAAATATGCATTTTTTTTTTTACTTTCAAAGAATAAGAGAAGTAAAATAAAATTAAAACCAAATTTTCTAAATTTCCACAGCAGGAAATGATTACTTATCCAATGATTGAAAATGATTGAAAATATTCAAGTTTAGATATGTATTCACCTGGAACATATTTTGTATTAGAAATGGATTTATCTCCTCTGAAATTCTGAAATAAAAAAAAAATGGAGCTTGGGTATAAATTTGCATATACTTTTCTGAAGACAAAGCAAGAGATCATTTCAAAGCTTAAGGTAGAAATGTGCATAAGTTGTATATTTATTCTTTTTTTTTAACTTTTTCACAAGACAATTAGAAAGGTACACAAAATTCAGTAAAAAAAAAAAAACCTCAAAATACTGTTTAGTTTTTCCAAATCTAAAACACACTAATTTAGCTGGATTTTGATAGACACAGAAGAATTTTTCCAGATCAAAATGAGGATAGTTTTCAATTCAGAAGTAATTAGCCCCTTCACGGTAACTGCGGTACTGCTCTTTTGCAGGGCAAATTGATAACGTTTGGCGAAGTTTTTGATGACAGATAATTAAATGACCTTTATTAAACAATTGCTTTTACGTCATATTTCACCAAAATATATCATTTTCCCCTGCAAAAGAGCAGCACCGCAGTTATCGTGAAATAGTCTATACACTTATTTTCACACATTATCAAATAGTGACTGTCATTAATTAAAGAATATGTGTTTAGTTCGTTGGACATGCCAGGGAATTAATAACAGTTGGAAATGGTGGATAATTTGGGGATATGTATGCATAAATTACCCCACGTTTCAACTGTTGTGTATGTCCCAGGCATATATCCAACAATTAAATAGTGATTTTATTTATTTACATTTATATGTGAAATGAAAATGTAAAATATAATTTTTTAAAAAATGTCAAATAAATTGATACGCAAAACATACCATGTTAATTTCCATAATCCCGTCCATTTACGAAATTTACAATCAGTTGTAAATATCGAGAAATCAACACAGTTCACTTTCAAAAAGATATCAAAGAGAGATGGAAATGTAAATATATACAAATACAGTTCTTTTAAAAGGTAGATCTAAGATATAATAACTTCACTAACTTCGCAGAAAAACATATTGACCGGGCAGACAGTGTAAGTCGATATCCTTATATGTATATATATATAGAGAGAGAGAAGGGGGGGGCACTAGAAATGACCAACGACACAAATAAAATTGTCAAATTTTCGGGATGATATATATTATATAATAATAATAGAAGTAAAAAAAATCCTTCGATTTTTCTTTGATATCTCTAGTATAATATGCTAAGAGTCGGATCAAGTCAACTAGTATATATGCTAGTAATAAGCTTCTTTATCTTGAACTAGGTATATTTCCCTGTCATATTTTAAGAAAAATAAAAATTATGAAATATTGGTTAAAGTTGAGAAAAACAGAAAATTGAATTCTTAAGACGTGTTATGAAGAAATGGTGCAGGAAAATGATGAATGAATTGTAAACATTAAAACAGAACTGGATAAATTAGGATTGAACTTCTTGATGCATACATATTATGATGAAAAATATGCATTTAAACTTATTGAACAAAAAATGAAAGATATTTACATTCAAGAATTAAGAGCAGATATTAACATTATGCCCAAAGCTAATTTATACAAATATCTTACAGATACGCATTGCCTTCAATATTACCTTAACAAGCCTTTAAGTGTTAAATATCGAGAAATAATTTCAAAATTTAGTATGTCTGATCACAGTTTATATATTGAAAGGGGTAGATACACGCATACTAATAGAAATGATAGAAAATGCATATTATGTAATCTGGATGAAATAGAAGATGAATTTCACTTTATTTTACATTGCCCAACATATGAAAATATAAGGAAGAAATATATTAAAAGATATTATTATCAAAATAGTAGTGCATTTAAGTTAATACAACTATTTAGCGCTCGAAATGTAAAGGAATTAAGGGATCTTGGAAATTTTTTAAGAGAAGTAAATCATATACGGGAAAGTAAATTAGAACTATTATATTAATTTTTTAAGAGTGATTTACTATGTCACAACAATGTATATATATATATATATATATATATATATATATATATATATATATATATATATATATATATATATATATATATATATATATATATATATATATATATATATACGTGTACATTTAATCTCAATGTCATTTTAAATTGTGTGAATATATTGTAATATATATTATATATATATTCTCTTCTTTAGCCATGTCAATTATGTGTATACTATATGTAATTACATGTATGTAATTATGTTTATCTGATGTACCTGTTGATACAAGGAATAAAAGAACTGAATACACACTGTATCTACTTCAGAACTTTTAATCCGTACCTAGAATAATGATGTTTGAAAGCATTTTCTAAAATAAATATTTGTATCAACATAAATTGAATTATATTAATTAAAAAAAAATTCTTATGACAAGTCAAATTAAACGAATAGTATTGAATTAATTAATAATATGTAATCAGCATTATTCTGAAAATGAAAGTGCACTTATTGTTTTCCTAGTAACAATTAAGAAACATTGCATAGGAAAGCACTGAGTTGCAACATTACTAACAATGCTTAAATGAAGTGTGTAATGTTTGTCAATTGAACATACTAAAATATATATGAATGTATCGATTTGAGCTTGATTTGCCCTGCTAATTACTGATTTATTTTATCAAGATATTACACATCCTCATATCAGATTTTAAAAAACGCAATTGTAATATTAAGTAGACAGTTTATTGATTCCAAACGCCCTCAGGTGATACACAAGAAATTCGTGCGCATAAATATCCTGAGATTGTAGAAAACGTAGAGAAATCATGTATGAATTTGGTTGCATCTGAAAACACAAAGAAATGTTTGCAATTTCAGTACAAACTTAATATTTGCGTTTTAACATTCTACAAAACTGAACAGATGTTAAACAATAGATGCCAGCTTTTACTTTAAAAATAAGAATGTAGAAGGATATTAATAGTTCAATAAGAGATACCATTCATATTTGTTTCAAAAACATATGTACTTACATGTATTCCCATGGGATTATTAAGCTTAGCGGAAATGGAAAGGGGCAAATTATTTATGATTGATGTCCCATATCTTTCTAAAGGCGTTTTATCTAAAATTCCCTCATGCCTTAAACATAAACTTGAAGTAAATTCATATGGAACACTTTCTTTACATGAAACAATGGACGATTGTTTTAATTTCTTCATAGACGCCTTGCTAAATACAGTAATTCCACTGTGAAACGGCCAAGCCATGCCTCTCGCTGCATTCGAGATTGTTCCAAAATATATTGGTTCAGATGCATTCTGCTTCGAGAGATAGTACCGCAAATTTTCTAGTATCACAAACGTGTTATCGGCAGCGAACAGAAACCAGTCATTATTGTTAAGATGTCTTTTGAAAGTTTCTAATACTGCGACACCGAACACACTTTTGGCATCATAATCTGAACGGTAAAAGGAAATATTACTATATATCATTGGAAAAGGAAGGTGTTGATTGGTTTTCCTTCCGACAAAGACGGCGGATGAACATCTCTTTGCCCAAGTGTTGGCAACAGCTGTCGATAGAAGACGTCCACCAAAATAATCACTGGTGAATATTACACAATGAACTTTGACTTTTTCCTGGAGAATTGTGCCCAGAGTATTATTATCTGCAATGTATTTGATATTAAGATATTTTGAACATAAACCTGAAGACAAGTTGTATTTTCTAATTGCATTCACTCAATTCAGTACACATTAGTGAAAAAACAAGTACTTCAACGGAGGTTACTTTTCTAGAGGTAATGCTGTGACATATATTAAGCCCCAGAACCTCCTTCCAGGGAGAGGGTGTACAAATAAAATTTTGAAGATTTTTTTTGAAAGTATATACCCTTTGAGTTAGCTGTTTAGTAATACATCATTTTTTAAATGTATGCCTGTAAATTAAAGCGTACAATGTACAATTAACGAAAGATGGATTCCATGACTGTCTTACGTTGAGGAATGTTATGAGCGATCCGCTAAATTCACGCAAATCTTTGCATTGTTCAGCATTTCATCTTAAACATCATAGGAAATATGCTATGAAGGTTTTAACGTTTTAACTCCTAGGAAATATTATGTATTATCTTAAAAATCCAACTTCCTTTATCATTGAAAATTACTGTCAGATGCATTCAACGCAATAGAAAGGGGATATATAGTTTACGTCCATAGGATTTTATTAGCCTTTCTTGAAAATTCACTTCATAGTATTGTTCAGAATAACAGTAGTAAATGTACATATTTCTCATAGCCAGATTGGAATAGATCCTTAATTTCTCATCCAAGGTTTATAAATCACTGTCTAGCACTAAAGCAAATATTTCTTATTTGAATATATTTATTATATGCGTGTTCCCTATAAAAGTTTTTCACAGTAATAATTATAACATCTTACCTCTGTGGAATTTGGAATCGTTTATCACAGAACTAGGGATTATTTGATCCACTTCGTCAAGATAATAATTTTCAAACAAAGTCCTAACAATCTTGTCCTCATTTGTAGATTCATATTTGATGAAAAATATTGAAGGACTGGGAAACGCTACAAAGTACAGGATTATACCACAAATGAATCCAGACAAAAAGGATAAACCATTTGTCATAGTTACCTTCTCTGTGTTGAGGTCCTTAATATTGTCTACAATCTAGAAAAAATGAAATGCATTTGAGTTATCTCGATGTAAGGTCTTGTTATAAAAGGAAAACATATAAATGTTATATTCATTGTTATCTTGTTGAATCAATAGCGTGTGGTATATACCATGGAGGACTGAGTTATGTGTATTGATGACAGCTGTTTTGCAATTGAGTGATTGTCATTCAGTAACAGTTACAATCTGTGTTAGTTGGTTTATTTTCCCCTTGTAAAGAAGTTGCAAGCGGCTACAGAAACCGTACACATGTACAAGCTCGCGGCAGTTCGCTGTGTCATGTTGCGGACATGATATATATGGAATACTATAATTTTTTATGCTACTGAAATGGTAGGAGTCAAAGGGTACAGGTCTATATTCATTCTTTTCAAAGGATGTTGTCAATTATATACTGTAAGCTTTAATAGTGTTGCTGTTATAGCATGTAAAATACCTTTTTGATATTTTAGTCTCAAACTTGCTGCAAAGATAGGGAACTACAGGGAAGTCTATCGAGGTATTTATTTTAGAGTCCAAAGATTAAACCATTTTAAGTATGTTTTAACCTTCCGGGTTAATACGTTTTTACAGAAACGCAAACTGACCAGAATTAAGAACTTTAGAGAGAGGGTCCAAAGGGCGAGTTAAATGTATAGGTGATGATTTTTTTTTATTCATTTCGTTATCAAATTTTCATCATTTTAAGGATACTTACTGCTTCAGAGAACAAGATTGTAATTTCTTTATGAACTGGTATCAGACATATCGTTTCAATGAAAATCTCAGACTAGCTAACGCTCATCTTTTTTTTCCTTTTTTTTCCCTTCCTAACCGGAGGTGATTATTATTACATGTTTGTTTGTTTGTTTGTTTGTTTGTTTGTTTGTTTGTTTTTTTTTTTTTTTTTTTTTTTTTTAAATAAAAATTAATTTAAGGGACCAACTGGGTTTTCAATGCGCAGAATAGGTAAATATAGCTTATTTACACTTTTGTACAGCTATTTCAAAAAAATTTAATCTTTCAAGACTTCATTTTTTAAACGATTTTTCAACTGATAGGTAGATGGGCGTCGTTATAGTTTGTTTCTGACGTTATGATAAACTGAAATTCTATAAGAGGGGGTCATAAAAAGTGTTATAAAAGAAGAAGTCCAAAAATAAATTTTACGAATCTTCTAATAGACTCTGAATTTTAAGCCAATTTTTATCATTTACAACAATATCACAATATAACAATCAGTCTTGCTAGGATGCTTTATGTGGGCTATATAAGAAGTCCTTCTTCATGCTTGGATGCTATCTGCGGCTTATAGAAGCAGTCGGGCAGTTGGGATTTACGTGGCCATTATAATCAGTCGTGCTTGGATGTTGTATGTGGCGTTTATAATCAGTCATGCTTGGATGCTGTATGTGGCCTATATAATCAGTCTTGCTTGGATGTTTTATGTTGCCTATACATTCTGATAACTGAAAAGAATATTTTTGAGCACTCCATTCGCAAGTGGCTGAGAGCCCATATTGCATAGATGCACTACAAAAAGATATATATTGTCATTAATGTTTCGAGTGTTGATTGGTTAATATATGCTTTTTATGACAATTCGGCAGTATTTCAACCAATAATCTATATTTCTAAGTTTTCATATAAAATTCCTTTAGAAAATTATAGAACATCAAACATAAATGTAACCAGGTTAATTTTAACATTGGTATCGCTTACATTGACATTTAAACCTGGATGAATAATATCACTTTGAATATATACCAACATTAAAGATATACACGCTATAACTTGCCTCAGTTAAAAATAAAATTGGAAATTTATTTATTTTGTTTACCAAATAAAGTTACGAAATTATTGTAAATTACACAATTGGAAATGAACGCATTATAAAGATCTCAAATTATAATTATTTATTATCCTACTAGGACAGTAATGCCTCTATTTAAATTCATGCATCATGTGACACCGTCGCTACTTTTAGATTGATAAACAAAAATGGCGTCAAGAAAACGAGGTAGGCCGTTTGGTATACAAAATAACTTTTGACATGGATGGTGTAAAGACGAATAATGACCCCCATAGAATAATGACCGGGGGGTCATATTTCAACGACAAAAAATGACCCCCCAGCCGTAGAAAAAATTATTTTTTTGTAGAAAAAGAGACCCAAGGGTCATTCTTTTATGTGTGCGTCCTATAAAAAATTGACCCCCGTTGAAAAATGACCACCTCTCCAACAGAGTGCATGATACAAAATTTATAACGGGTGATTGATGCCAAGGTTTGAACCTCAATGTTTGATATTCTTTATGCCCTTTTTGACCAACACTGGACGAACGCGCAATTAAAATGGAATTACATTTACCTGCATATTTCTATCTTTTAAGCCTGTTGTGTTCTCAGCACATATTGAAAATCGTAAAATGGCTACTATTGGTTATAACTGTTAACGCAATTTCCCTTTATGACTGTCTTCCATTTGTTTCATATTTAGATATTTGACCGATTATAGACAATCATAGCTAAATAACAGACAAGCGGGATGTTTTGGCTTTTCATTGGTAAACATGTCTCCCAAAGTAATCAGCATGCTTTGAGTAGGATCAACTTTTTAAAAAAAAATGAAGGGAAAAAAAGAATGAAATAATTTTTCAGAAATAAATACGGAAAGTTATGCAATGTAATACATATGAATATTTTGAATGACATAAAAAGTCGTGCAAATGAGGTAGAATGTATCGAAATAATTGACGTAATAACTCGTGTGAACGACATACTGGGGATATATATATTTTTTAATGAAAAAATGGTGAGGATAACGAAGAGTGATGATTTTATAATGTCCACAAGCAGTACATTTCTGTTAACAAGGCATAAAAAAGGACCCCCGAAAATGGCAGAGGTGGGATCAGGTGCCTAGAAAGAGTAAGCATTTCCTGTTGTCCCGTCACACCCGCCTTGAGCGCTATGAATAAATCAGGTAAACGGGACATTCCGATGTCGAATTTAGTATAAAAACAAGGGCCAAACAATTGACCCAATTATAGGTTACATGTATATTTGTTGACAGGGTCATTGATACGACCATTGAATCTACGAAATGCTGTTGGTTGTTGAAACCCCTGTATCATCAACTTACATGTGTCTGTCAGTAGCCTGCCTCGATTTAAAAATTAATCGTGCTCTTGGGTATCGAAAAAGTTGGTAGACGTAAACATTATATGCAAATGATTGCAGAATATTACTTCATAAATAAGGAAAATTGACAATAGAAAAGGCTGAAGTCATCCCGTTTGTCAGACAATTTAGTTGTTAGTTGGTCTTTATCGTCTATAGTCAGTAGAACGTCCAAATATGAAGCAGACGTGACAAACATAAGAAGGACATAAAATTTCTCCATGACTGAAATATATACAATCTTATAATGTGCATTCAATTTTATTTATAAACAGTGGTCTACTCTATGGGAATTTCTTTTCAAGTATATAGAAGTAATACGTACAGGAGAATCCCAGTAAAATGTACATTCAAGTCTGTTTCAATGTAACATGATCGCCTGAGAATATGATACATACATGTAAGAGGAATATTTTTTGATCCACTTCAAAACTGATACATTTGTCAAATCGATATGGAAACATTTTCAATACAGTGTATATTGAAATAGATTAATGTTTTCAATTTATAATTAAAGACAGACTTTTTTATTGACCTTCAAGGTGAATACATGTATAAGGATTTAATTATCCTACATTGAACTAAAAATAGATTGAAAACAATTCTGAAAAGTTATTTCACCTGCATCTGAATTCTACTCAAGTGAACATAATATTCAGGCACAAAGAATCGGAGAAGAGGGAGGGATTGTTACCCCTTTTCTGAATGTAAATTTTAGCAATTTCTAATTTGAAAATGTTCATTGAAAGTCTTGTACCCACCCCTTCTTTCTTATACAGTATAGTTAAAAAACTTCTCCTACTTGAGTGAACAAGATGAACATAACATTCAGGCACATAGAATCAGGGACGGGGTGTCCACCCCCTTCCATTTCCATGAACGTATTTTTTTTTCCGCTTGAAAATAGTCATTGCAAGTCTGGTTGTCCTACCCCTAACTTTTGGATACAGTAGAGTAAAAGAAAATTCCACTTACATCAATAAACTTTTTGAGGGGTTCATCAAAGATATTTTTAACTAAAAGTACTTTTTGCCTCTTATAATGCGCCATTCTGCCTGACATTTATTTTTTTTTTAAACATTTTTACATTTATTTTATTTTTACATTGCACCAAAACTAGATTTCAAATGCAAAATTAATACTGGTTATGCTTATGTTAACTCCTATTCTTTCACTGTGTTTGGTTAGGATTGGTTTGGGTTTGGGTTTGGGTTAGCAAATGTAAACAAGAAACTTGACATGTCTGCTTAAGCAGTTTGTATCAATTTCATCGTTGAATCATATAATAAAACAATTATTGCTGTTTTTTCTGTCAGGATGATCAGTGATTTTCCACCATCGAAAAACAATGCTCTCCTCGCCCTTTGGACTCGATAAATCTTTAACTCCACTAGATTCTGAATCATTGAATTGACCTTAAAAACAGCAATAATTGTATAATGTAATGAGATCAATATATCATCGATTTATTTGCAATGAAGCTCAAGTGAGCATTTTGGCCAACAGGTCTCTTGATTTATTATTTTTATTTTGCCCCCTAAATGTTTCAACTTTAATCCGCTTTAATTCACAAGGGGTCATTATTCTACGGGGGTCATTTTTCTTCACGTGGGGTATGCAGGTTTTTAGGGTGATGACACTCTTTCTATGGGCAAAAGGGTCATTTTTCGACGTCGAATAATTACCGGGGGTCATTTTTCGCCGTTGAATAATGACCGGGGGTCATTATTCGACGTCGAAAAATGACTCCCGGTCATTATTCTATGGGGGTCATTATTCGTCTTACAGATGGCATACGTTTTATGCTTAAAGATACTTATTTTTGAAAACAACCAGTATTAACCATCTACTCTGTAATGACAGTTATTAACTTTTATTCAAAATCGTAGTCAAAATGCAACGTACCCCGTTGTCTAAGATTTCCCGCGGACATGCGTGTCTTTATACTGTTTACGCACTTCCTTCATCAATATTCATGAATAGGCTGAATTCTTAATTGCAGATCTTGCTTAATTGTTTTGTAATTACAACGACTTACTTAGTAAAACTTTGTGGATAGTAATTATTTTTTATTACACATCATGTTTCTCAAATCATTTAGTCATTTTGTTTCACATAAAAAATCGCGTTTATATAGCGTGTATATCTTTAAATAAAACTTCAAAACGGCTTCTGTTGCTATGGAAACAAAAAGGTCAAGCTAAGACATTTTGCAAAATATTTTAATATCTATTGCTTATATATACTCTGCTTCAAGCACCGACTGGGTGTATTTGTGATGTTATAATTGCGTGTAAAACAATTTCTAGTTAACTCTCAGATTTCTGAAAAGATATCCTATAAAGTGATTATCATTTATAAGATTTAAAAGTAGGATGGCAAAAAGAAAACAAATAAAAATAATAAAGAAAATTTTATTTCTTAACATTTTATTGAGTTGATATAATTTGCATTATTTACATCCAAAAAAAAGTCAGAAAATGTATAACAATCCATGGATTATTCTTTTTTTTATGTAAAAAGTGTCCTAAATTAAAAAAGTGGTTGTTAGATAAAAGTATTCCACAGTACACCTTGCATTGATTAAACTTAAAAATCGCGTCTGTTTACAAATGAAAGCATCAATCTACTTCAAACGAACAAGCACTAGATAAAGGTATGATATACTATGAGGGTAAACATTTATTACAGAAAAACAAGTGTCTGTGCTTATACATTCTGAGTATGGATCGTTTAAATACCGTTCTTTCACATAATTGAAGATAGTTTTTATTACTTGAAGATGTCATCATTTCTTTTGGTGGGTGCAACAATTCAATTATCATGTTTTTATGATGTCTTCAATTCTGAATTATTGCGTGTATTAATTCAATTGATGATATCATAAATTAATTTGCTGAATTAATGCACGCAATAATTCAATTGTAAAATATTCAAATGAATATATGATACCAACAATTGAATTGATACGAGCAATAATTCAATAGAACAGAGCAACATATCAATTCATGTGCGCAATATTTGAATAATAGATTTTTTTCTTCAATTGAATTAATTATATCATTCATTCAATGAATACGTGACACAATTCTTTTAGAGTGCGCAACTATACAATTAGTAATACATGTATCTTCAATTCTACATATCTTTCAATTAAATAATGATTTCTGATTTTCTGAAATAAAATGATTTCCAGGCTTTTTTTTTTTTTTTACATATTTGACAGCTGCTTTTTCAAAAGAATTGGAACTTGTAAATTTACTTACCTTGTCATTGGTCATTTGCAAAATTATTTTGTTAAAAACATTCTGATTGTACAAACACGTACTCTGAAGTTGATATTAAAATAATGCTTGAGTTTCTGATTGACAATATCTATATGGTTTTTGGAGACCAGGTCTTCCAACAATCTGTTGGCATTCCCATGGGTAACAATTGCGCTCCGTTATTAGCAGACCTATTTTTGTATTCATATGAAGAAGAATGTATTCAAAATCTTATACACGAGAAGAAGAAAGCACTTGCTGTGGCATTCAACTCAACATTTATATATATATATATATATATATATATATATATATATATATATATATATATTCGATACGACAGACCATGCTCTACGTATGAACAATTTCTAAAACGAGGGTAAGTTACTGAAAAACAAGTTGATGAAACAAGAGTATCAACAGTCTCGTTTAAAGTCATCATTCCGTAAGTTCTATGGTCGAAACAATGACCTTGTCAGCAAATACAACCTATCATTAAGTCAAATGCTTTCATACTAATACTCGGGCTATTATTTACACACTGAATTGTCTACGGATTGTTTCGTTATTTCCCGATCATGTCAAGAAGCACTCGGCGGGTGTGGCCGATCTGCAAGGGATTCTCACTCCTCCATCATACCATGGCACCTGATCTCACCTCTGATGTTTTGAGAGGTTTCCTCTGCTCCTGATTTGTACTCTTTAAATGGACCTCTGAGCTTGAATACTGTTCTTTATCTCCATATTTCATTCTTCAAGGTATGTCACTCCTTACAATGGTTATATCAAGGGTGTTTTAGAAGTATATTTTAGATATCTACAAATACTCGCTAGCATAACTCAAAACTGGAAAGAAAGTTGCAATTGGGAGTCAGTGTGCACTTTACTTGGCAACAGTACAATCAACCTTAACTTTTGTGCACTTAAATTGTAAGTTCTATATCAATCACTTTAACCTGAACCAGATGTAATACATGTAAAACATTCTTATTTAATGTAAAATGTTGAAATAAAACATATCATTGGAAAAAAAATTAATGCACGTAAATTGTGTGAACGTTTTGTACTAATAAAATTTCATATTTTTGGTATTAAAAATCTAAACACTCAAGAAAATTTCTTGTCGATTTTGAGAGCGGTGTTTGATTTAATATTGTAAAATTTGCATTCTTTAATTCAAATATGTCATAAAAAATTAATTGAAATTGATATATATAAAAAAAAAATCAGAGGTTCTGAGCAAACTTCCCTGAAAAGCTGACGAACGACATACCTTAACTGAATTGTTGCTCACTTTAAAAGAATTGATGCGCACATTAATTCCTCCGACAAAATCATTGTAATTTAACTTAGAATATCTTAACTTGAATTATAAGATCAACAAATAATTTATACCGGGATATAAATTAATTTTTCGAGAAACAATTCCACTTCTTTGTTAAGATTCACGCTAGAATTAATCCTCACGGCAATGGAATTGATGAGAGCAATAATTGAATTAATGCGCACATCAAATCAATTATTGCGCTCATTAATTGAACTGATGAGCGCATCAAGTAAATTGATGAGAGCTATCGCTGAATTGAGATACGGATTTATTAATTTAAGCATTGATTGTCATTCTGTTCATATTTGTAAAAACGATATTTTTCTGATATGAAAAATTTATAACAAATTTAAATTTATAAAATAAATGGATGAATCCTTTTCCACCTATTACTTAAGGCGTTTTACTCCTTTTTCACCAAAATAATTTTCTGGGGTTTTTTCTGGTGAATTGTAACAAATATAAAATTCGTTTACCTAGCTGTCTGTTTACAAATTACGCCTTGTTTTGCATCAGTTGATAAATTCTGGTCGATCCCTTTGTTAAGTCTTACACATCTGCTACAGTTATATTAATGTGTCTGTTTGACAATTACAATCCGTTACTGTTAATTGTGTGGAGTTTTCAGCCCCGAAGATCAAAGAAATCTTTTTCACTTTTGTTTTTTACATATTTCAATTATATATACATATACTTAAATATCTTTTCCATTACCTTTTTAGCTTAATTTGAATTAAAGACTTCGTATTTTGTTATTGTCTATCGGCATGAAATAATCTCATTTTGAGGTGTTAGAGATGAAAAAAGCTTAAATGCCAATTTGCTGCATGGGATACTTTCACAATTTCTTTTTACCATTCTTTTTCAAAAGGTACTTATATGCAATTGATCAAACAAATAAAATTGATGTGTGTTCACTTTTCGACATTGAGTTTTAATATAAAAATATTTTATAACCGCAAAAAAATCCTCTTTTGTTTTTATTTACTTATATCTAGAACCAAGTATTAATGACATATTCTCAAAGAGAGTGAAAACAAATGAACAACTTACCTTAGATCTAATTGAAACAATTGTTCAGAAAATATCTCTTTCGAACCACGACATTTCTGGATTGTATATTGAAATGTATTCACTCTATGTCTTTATCAGTTGACGGTTGAGCTAGCTGTTAGACTTTTCGAATCGCCCCTCATCCTCATCTTTAATTTACCAACCTTTGGCCACATCTGTACTTTATGCAGTAAAGGTCTTGAGTGACACAAATGATGTTATGTAGCGGTAATCTACGTAATTATCAAGCTGTCACAAAACCGATTCAAACAAAGTCCTTTACAAAGAAAATCTATGGAGCGTATGTTGCAGACATTTCTTTAAATAAAATCGCCTTCACCTATCTACCTAAATGTGTGTCACAATTCTGGCCTATAAAAAAGGCATCCATCAGTGGATGAAGAAAATCTACCACTTTACACTTCGACTGGTCCGAAGCTCATATTGTTAAAGTTTTTATTTTTGTAATATTTCCTTTGTATACAGGTCAATCGGAGAACAGGTGATTAAAAACCATAGTCGTCAGACAAAAAAAAAGAACACACACACACACAAACAAACAAAATAAAACAAATTAAAAAAAACGCATAAAAAACAAGTACCTCCTCCTGAAGTAATTCAAAAAAGACTTTGAAAAATAAATTTGAAAAAATATGATTTGAAAAATAAATCTATTAGTAAGAAACTAACACAATTCAAATCAGGATTCGGTCGTGAATTTAGTCTTATTTCATCATACATTACCTAAGATGATGGCCCTTGTACATGTGAAAACTTGTTACCTGTCCTCAACTAAGAATTTCATATGTATGTACAGGTACATGCACTAAATACATTTCATATACACCAAATACTTAAGTTTAGAGGTTTCATCAATAGATATATGAACAGCAAAAGTGTTTTAATCATCTGTAAAGACAAATCTACATCATCCCATCAAATTAAAACAGATTTTTATCAATAGTGACTAGTTCAAGCCTTAAAAGACGTTTCTAGCTATGGCATGAAGAAGATTTCTACAAGGAAAAATGAAATGAAATCTTTATTTCTTTTTACTGGACCATAAACATGGTATTGGTCTGTATTTTAATTAGTACATGTATTGCCTTCATAAATATCATAGTTCTGTAACATTTACATGGTGAAATAAATTTATATTTCTACCCATATTTTACTGTAGGGGTAACATTGGTATAACTATTATTAGTTACAATTATTATCACACAAACATCACGCTAACTATTATTGTCACGCAAATATTCCCCCTGCCGTAATTTTAAAGATAGTACTTTAGTCATTTTGAGATATATAACGCCTGATTTTTAAAGTTTCATAACCAGTTTTGGATTAAAGAATTTCTTTAGACACGAAAATAGGGTAACAATTTCAGCGACAAGTAATTGTACTTTTTCAAGTTTTTCAGCATCATTATACTATGGCATTTCAATTTGGTCACTAGTTTCTTTAAAAATACCTTTGGTTAGAGATTGTTCTATCTGACGTATCCGTATAAGTATCCGTATCCGTATACGTATCGAGCTCAGAAAGGCATCTCGATCCCGATGTCTAAAATATTTACTATAATTTCCATTGCTATTTGTTTGGTTTTAAAGCAGCCCCATTCATTTAAGAATAGCATATCGTATTTTTTCTAAAAAAAAAAAAATGTATTAAGCTGCTTTAAAAGTTTGGTATTTCGTAGGAAAATTAAAAAAAAAATGGATAATGAAATTCAATAAATTTGTATTTGTTTTAATTATATTGTTTAAAACTTTAATTGCAATTTTGTTTAAAAATATTTATCGGGATCCCCCTCTCTTACTCTTAACATCAGGACATTTTATTGATTGATTCTGTAATTTACATTAGATGACATAAAAGTTAACCCCCTCACTCACACACTGAATGCAAAATACGTTGATATCCACACAATCAATAAAACCGTGTAGCAATTTTCTAAAGAGAATCTGCTTCCAGACCCTTACCAGTATATGCTTAAAAATGCCAGCCCCCCCCCCCCCCCCCGGAACATGCACACAAACTTTCATATCGTCTAGATCTGTTGACTTTCTTCATTCTTTTTTTTTCAATGAACTATATGACAAATACCTGTACGTCTCCCCTTCCCCTCCCCAGTTGAAATTGCTACTTTCGGGTCTATTCTCACACGGCTTGATTTTGTTTTATATTTTGTCCTTTCAGCAGTAATAACTTGAAAAGACTTCATGGCGACAAAAATGAAATGAAAATTCAATTGTTAAATTTGATTTTTCTTTTTAGTTCTCTTGTTGTCGTACATGTGTATTATAATTCATGGTTTGATATAGAACTAAAATAGGGTATTCATTATCATAATTCACTTTTTATAAGAAAGAAAAGAACATTAGACTTAAAATGCCAAAACAATAGATTTATCTATTCTTCTATGCTACCTTGTCCATCCAGCTGATTTTTATTCATTTATATTTTTATTTTTATTTATTTTTGCATTTATGCATTTTGGCCCAGATTGGGACAAGTGTGAGTCAATTCAACACGCAGTTCATAGAATTGAATAGAAGAGGCTGCTTCAACGTAGCAGAGAATAAAAAAAAGAAAAACACAGAATAAAGGATAAAATTTATACAAAACATTTAATTGATAAAATATCAGCATTTTAAAGAGTTTTGATCCCGCTTGTACACATAGAAACATCATCTTCATTTCAATAAATCATTTAAGTAAACTTTAGTCAACATGTATATAAAGTAATGTATAAGACATAAAAAATTTTTCTCCGTTTATCTCCTTTTATCGACAATTGTTAATTTATCCCCGACAAAAACTGCGTGTAATTGCATCACTTTCGGAAAAGGCTATCACCTAACAATTTAGGGAATTTAGAGTCTTCAAACAACCCCAGAATTGCCAGCTTTCCAAAGCTTTTTCTGGAGAACTATGTCCATCAAATATAATCAAATGATATACAGAATGTTGATAATGATAAAAAAGAAAATGAGGATGGAAATTTTCAGTGACCCCCCCCCCCCCCACACACACACATACAGAGTATGCAGTATGAGAGAGAGAAGTCCCTTTTTGAACTTTTTTTTTTATTTTTTAACAATTTAATAAAAACATACGTATTTTTTTTTTTTTACTAATTTTATTTTTTTTAAATCCTTCCATAAAATGATAGGTGTGAACACCATCTTGATACGTTTCAATAGAAATATTACTATATATCTTATTTTCCAATGAATGAGATTAAAATCAAACAAGAAACGATGGAAATGTTACCCAACGGTTAAATCATCGGGATCGAGATGCCTCTCATACTTCGATACGTATACAGATACGGATACGTATACGGATACGTCAGATAGAACAATCTCTAATAAGGACTTACCCATGCAATCATTTGGATGAGCGCATTGTTCACTTAATTTTTAGATCCACCTCTTCAAACCGCACGAGACCTTTGGAACATCTAGACTGTGACGTCACATGACGTCGTATGTTAGCTGCATTTCCATAAACGAAGTTTGAAAAGTGCAAAATTTTAACAAAGAATGTTTAATCTACTATCTGTATGCAATATCCATTAAACTGAGTTGAGTTGTTGTTACCGCGAGAACGAAGTTAGCAGCGAGAACAGCAAGCGTGGATCCAGAGTTACTGCGTCAAAGAATGTGGAGTAGTCTGAATTTCGAATGAATTTTCTCTTCTCTAAGTGTTGTCGTTAGAGCTCGCAGTGACGAGCAGCGCTTCGTGCCGCTCGGTGCGCTCCCTCTTATTAATTATTTTCTATTGACTTACATATCATTTCACAGAATTCTTCAGTTAAATGCAAATAGTATTCAAAGCTTGTATTCTGAATTGATATAATTTTCTTTGAAATCACAAACACTTGCTTACGCCGTGCATCACAATTTTCAGTGTAAACTGTAAATATAAAGCAATGCAAAGCAACCTCTGCTCTTTCCAATTGAAAACAGAAAAAAATACTTTTATCATATCTTATATTTGTTACTTCTGGTTGTTCCAATTAATGCCCAAAACGCCTTCATGTGGTGCATGAAAGATAACACATTGAGAGGTCATACCTGGGAGAAGGAAAAGGTGCAATGGCGACTCTTTCTTTGTTATTATTATTGGTGACTTTGCCAGTGATCTTCTCGGCGAAGGAAATTCCTACCGAAGACAGTGAGAGAATTACACTCTTAGAAGATGTGGTAAAGACATTGATGGAGATGCAAGAAAAAGATAGAGAGGAAAATTCTCTTCAGAATAACAAAATCAGGACACTTGAGGAAACTATGGCGAAATATGAGGAAGAGAATAAGAAGCTGATGGCCGAAAATGATGACTTGAAAAAAAAGACAATAACATGAAAATATTTGTCGGGAAGATGGACGTCCATGTGAAGAAGCTAAAAAAGGAAAACCTAAAATTGAAAAAAAAAAACATTTCATTCTATCGCTAAAATAATGGACTTTATTCTATTCAGAACTTTGCGTTGCAACAAACAAGGAATAGAAAATTCCAGGCAGGCCAAAAAGTCCAGCAATTCAGTGAAAGTGGAGGAATCAAAAGAATTACTGAAATTGAGTGTATCGAACGTGGAATCAAAATTATTGGCTTCATCTCAAAAAAGGCTCTTGACAGGTACCATTTATAAGTTTATGTTTTCAGATATTTGAATCATCGATGTACAGGAAAAAAAATAATCAATATTATTATATGTAATTCATATAGATTTTTACGCCTTTATCGAGGTCAGAAAATTGCCTTTAATACTGTTGTCTTTGAATTTAACAACAAATTTAAATTGACGTAAAGTGATACATTTGGCAATCATGATAAGCCACATGAATGAAACAGTTAAAAGTCACATTTTATATTCCAATGTTAAATCCAAGAAAATGGAACATGGAGATAACGAACAGTAATCGTCCATTGAAACAATACAAATCGGGAACAGAGCAAACACGGACCTAGCTCTTAAAACATCAGAGGTGGGATCAGGTGAAATGGAGAAGTAAACATCTCCTTTCGACCAGTCACACCAGCCGTGTACAGATTGTCATGATCGGGGAAACGGTATAATCAATCCAGTGTTTAAATAATAGCCTAAAAATTAGTAAAAAGTGAAATAAGTGAAAAATATCAGTCAGCATTGGACTTCATGATCAATTGTATTTGCTGACAAGGTCATTGTATCGACCAGAGAACTTGCGAAATGATGACTTTAAACCAGACGGTTGATATCTTTTGTCATCAACTTGTTTGTCAATAGCTTGCCTTGTTTTTTTTTTTGAATTGTTCGTAGTGAAGCATATTCTTGCGTATCGAACCAAGTAGACGATATAAACCCCACATGCAGATGATAAGGGTGTATTGCTACATAAGTAAGGGAAGTTGACGATTGAAAAAATGAAGTCTTCACGTTTATCATAATAGTTTGTTGTTAGGTTATCATTAATGTCTTTATCTAGTAAAATTTCCAAATGATGTTATCAGGAAATGGTAATCAAGCTTTTTTTTTTTTTAGATATGATCATTTATGACAATTTTTCAGTGGCTTTCTTGTGATAAAATTTGGATGTTATATATTAAATTTGTGTTCCAAAACTTATATTTGTATTTTTATAGGTATTCCTACCACTCCCCAACTACATGATGTTGCGTTTTCTGTCTTTTTAAAAACGCATGAAACGCATTTAACAGACCATCAAACAATCTTGTTTGATGGTATCTTGACGAACATTGGAGGTCATTACAATACACACAGTGGTGTTTTCACGGCACCCCTACATGGAGTGTACGTTTTTACGTGGAATGTATACTGTAATGTAAACGGGAGAATTTTCTCTGAAATTGCAGTTAATTCCAATCCGATAGGTAGCATATTTACTGCAGGTGAAGGTTCATCAAACATCAGGACAACCACAGGTATCGTCGTGGCTGAAATAAATAAAGGGGATATAGTCTTAGTTCGAACACGCCCGAACGTTGGCCAATCTGGAGGTCTTCATAGTGATCCAGCTTGGAAGTCGACTTTTAGTGGATGGTTACTATTTTGAAACAATGGCAACGGATAACTTTGTAAACAGAATGCAGAATGCATGAAAACTTTATAACTGTCTTACTTTTTGATAAGTTTTTAGCAAAAATTATTACAATAGCTTATATTTATGATACAAATAATTCCTGTATTAATATTCCCATATGCTTGTATTTATTTTGAGTTTTACCTCACCTGAGTAAGGTTTTCGTTCGTTCGTCCCTCAGTCAGCCTGTCCTTTCATCTCTAAATTTGACATATTTTCAATTTTTCTCATTGTGCCAATGTTATTTAAACCTGGCAGAGAGCATCCTTAGGTAAAGGAGTATAAAGTTTGTTCATATAAAGGGACATTCCGCTTTCCAAGAAGGCAAGACCATGGTTAGTTATATTCATATGCAAGTATTTTCGGATAATGGAGATTCAAGGTTGAACATATAACTGCCACGAGAGTTAGGGTGAGGCCACAAAATGATCGAAGAAGGTGGTTATCCATAAAGTTCGTAGACAAATGCAATAATAATGACAACACTGCCAACTTGTACGATAATATTTTAATATAGACCTTGATTTAGTAGAGGTATAAAAATTAAAACAACACACACTATTTTACAAAAGTTATAGATGTAAATACTTTGTAAATGCAAGCCGGTCGGCTCAGTCGGATGCTTAGCTAGTGTCATGATAACGTCAAAAATATGAATTTTGAATGTTTATCATATGTTTGTTAACACAAGTGTTTTGTTTACTATGTCACACTGCCAAGTGTGAGTGATATTTCTTTTTAGACAATTGAGTACTTTTCTTTTTGAAATTTACAACAATCCACGATTATTTACAAGAGTCATCAATGAAATATATGGAGATAACAGACTGTATTCAAGCATGAAAGTCCATTAATGGAGCAGAGCAAACATGGATCTCTAAAACATCAGAGGTGGGATCAGGTGCCATGGAGGAGTGAGCATCCCCTGTCGACCGGTCACATCCGCCATGTGCTCGTTGTAATGATAGGGAAATAACGGAAAAATCCGTCGACAATTCAGTGTGTAAATAATGATCTAACAATAATCATGAAAAACGCCAGTCAGCATTTGATTTAATGATAATTTGTATTTGCTGACAAGGTCATTGTATCGAAATGACGACTTTAAACGAGACTGATGATATTCTTAATTCATCAACTTGTTTGTCAATAACTTACCTCGTTTTAAAAATTGTTCAGACATAGAGCATGCTCTTGAGTATCGAATCAACTGAGAGATATAAAACCCGTATGCAGATGATGAAGGTATATTGCTGCATAAGTAAGGGAAGTTGACGATTGAAACGTTAAAGTCATCGCGTTTATCATAAAGTTTGGTTGTTAGATTACCATTAAGTCTTTTTCTTGTAAAATATCCAGATATGAAACAGATATGTCAGACTCTGTTGTATATTTTCTTTCAAGCTCACTGGGATATATCGTGTCGATATATGTCACTGAAGTATCTATTGTTAATTGATAATACGTCGCCGATATATCTAAATGTCAAGTTGAAAGCCACAGCAAGTGTTTTCTTCTTCTCATGTAGAAGTTTTTGAATAAATTCTGCTTCATATGAATATAAAACTAGGTATGTTAACAAGTGGGCGCAATTGATACCTATGGAAATTCCAATAGATTGTTGAAAGACCTAATCTCCAAAAACTACATAGCTATCGTCAATCAAAAACTCAAGCATCTTTTTAATATCAGCTTTAGAGTACTCGTGTATAATCAGAATGCTTTTTAACAAAATAATTTTGCAAGACCAATGACAAGGTAAGTATATTTACGAGTTCTTGTATAAAGTGTTGAAAAGTCGAATATTTTTATGTTATTGATTTTGTAAAAAATATTGCGTGCAAGACTTTATCATCATCAAAAACTGTATGCATGACTTTACCATCATAAACTTTTCTTACTAAGGGCCCATTTACTCACAGGGAGATCACTGAGAGATATTTGGGCGATATACAAATTGTCATATCTCTTCTCGATCTCAGAAAGTATGGGAAATTTCGGTTTCTATGTAAATTAAGATAAAGGTAAACTACAATAAGAAAATTGCCAAACTTGAAATAGTCTTGGTTGAGTATGAGGTGTGGGGTAAGACAGTGTTGGTCGAAAATGCTAAATTGAGAATGAGAGTTGTTGATGTTGAAATAAAAATCAGAGACCAAAAAAAAATTAAAATAAAATAAAATAAAAATCGATGACATGGAGAACAATCTGATGGATATATCCAAGGAAAAAAAAGCGTGCAATCAGAAGAAACATTCAACAATCAAATCAAATTGCCAGACTATTTTAAAAAACCCTAAATGTTGCAAGAGCAAACGCTATAATTTCCGTTCAATCACCAAAGATATCTCTTGGGAAATTGATAGAGTGATCTGAATCAAATAGATCCAAACCAGCTGCTCAAGGATACGGAAAATGACTTTTGTCAGGTATAAATTTTAACAAATAAAGGGAAAAAAGTCAACTAATTATTTTAATTAAAAACCTCACCTACAGTAGTTGACCATGATAATTTTCATGTTTACAATGAAATAAGAAGATAACGAACAGTATTGAATCTCGAAAGTCCAATGAAACGATACAAATTTGGAGCAAAGTAAACACGGACCTGAAAATTAGAGGCAGGATCAGGTGCCATGGAGGAGTGAGCATCCCCTGTCGACCAGTCACATCCGCTGTGTGCTCCTTGTCAGGATTGGGGGAAAAACCCGGATAATCCGTAGACAGTTTAGTGTTTAAACAATGGCCTAACAATTAGTATGAAAAACGTTAGTCAGCATTTGACTCAATGATAGTTTGTATGTGCTGAAAAGGTCATCGTATCGACCATAAAAATTGCGGAATGATGGCTTCAAACGAGACTGCTGATATCCTTGTTTCATCAACTTGTTTGTCAATAGCTTACCTAGTTTAAGAAATTGTTCATACGTACAGTATGCTCTTGCGTATCGGATCAACTGAGAGACATAAACCCCCTATGCAGGTGATAAGGGTATATTGCTACATAAGTATGGGAAGTTCACGATTGAAAAGTTAAAGTCATCACGTTTACATGTATCTTAAAGCTTAGTTGTTAGGCTACCATTAACGTCTTTTTTTAATAAAATATCTGGATATGAAACAGATTTGTCAGACTCTATGGTATTTTTTTTATTTCAAGCTCACTGGGATATATCGAGTCGACATATGAATGGAAGTAACTATTGTTAATTGAAAGTATGTCTTCGATATATCGAAATGTCAAGTTGAAGCCCTAACAAAAATATTATAGTT